CTCAGGTAAAAAAATACTAGTAGTACTATTATAATATAATTCTACTACTACCATAAACTGTTTACAGTAAAAATACACAAGATCAAAAACTCTGCCTTGGATTCTTAAAGAAGCTATGATTTGAAATACACTTTTTTTTTTAATTTAAAAGACAAATGATAAAATATCGGTATCGATATCGGTATCGACGATACCAGCCCGAATTTTACTCGGTATCGGATCGGAAGGGAAATTGGTGGTATCGAACATCACTATGGTGCACTATGTATAGCAGGCGCGGGCAAACTTTTTGACTCACGGGCCACGATGGGTCCTAAAATTTGACGGTGCAGATCGATAGAGCGTTTGTATGAACTAATACAAATAACATGTAACAGTCAGTCAGTCAGTAAAGGCTAAAATGCTAAAATGATTTCCGCCTTGTCTATACCATCTATTGGGGAAATGCATGCAAGGCAGAAGTATAATGAAAAGTTTGGTGGGCCAGATTAAAAAGCCAAATGGGCCACATCCAGCTAAAAATGTATACAAGGGCACTCTAGGCTTGCGGTACACAAGCCTAGAGTGCCCTCTAGCGGTTGTCAGTGTGAAAATAACAATAGTGAAATTATATATTTAATATATAAGACACCCCTGAGTATAACTCTCAAACCAAAGGATGAAAAAAAAGAATGTAGAATATTTGCCCCCCCCCCGGGCCAAGAGTTTGACAAATGTGAAGTATAAAATGTTTTTCTCACTTTAGATGTCATTGCTTTCAGTTTGTGGAGCAGGGACGGTTTTGTGAAGACCACTTCATCCTCCATGTCTCCCTCAGTCTCTCCCTCCATCACAGCGCAGCTGTCAGCTCCAGGCATGTCGCACTCTTTATTGGCAGATATCACCAAGCGAGAGTACTTATATTCCAGCCTGGTGAGGAAATGGGTGATGATCAATATTTTGGGACAACACACAAATACAACAATACAAGAACCTAGATATGGCTAGATCAGTACTTCTCAAAAGAGTACCACTGTTGTAAGGCTTGAATGATAACAAGCTTCCAGTCACTAGGTGGCAGCAACTCATACAGTGGTTTGTACGGATCAAAATATACATGATATGAGGTTCTCAATATAGGCCATAAGGTGAACCCTATTATCGTTTCATCTCGCTCCGATGTCTGGGAACTACGCAATCTTAACTTCATAAAAAAAAAGAACGCGTTACGTTAAACTTACAGCAAAGTTTGTCAAAAAAAAAAAAATCCTGCCCATTCACGTGATCGAGAAGATCACAGCGAAAGATTAGTTCACGGCGAAAGATTAGTTCACAGCGAAAGATTCGTTCACAGCGAAAGATTCGTTCACAGAGAGTGATTCGTACCACTGTTGTAAGGCTTGAATGATAACAAGCTTCCAGTCACTAGGTGGCAGCAACTCATACAGTGGTTTGTACGGATCAAAATATACATGATATGAGGTTCTCAATATAGGCCATAAGGTGAACCCTATTATCGTTTCATCTCGCTCCGATGTCTGGGAACTACGCAATCTTAACTTCATAAAAAAAAAGAACGCGTTACGTTAAACTTACAGCAAAGTTTGTCAAAAAAAAAAAAATCCTGCCCATTCACGTGATCGAGAAGATCACAGCGAAAGATTAGTTCACGGCGAAAGATTAGTTCACAGCGAAAGATTCGTTCACAGCGAAAGATTCGTTCACAGAGAGTGATTCGTTTGCAATGAAAGATTCGTTTGCAGAGTAATTAGATCGTAGTGAAAGATTAGTTTGTAGAGAGTAATTCGTTCGTAGCGAAAGATTAGTTCACAGTGAAAGATTAGTTCGCAGAGAGTGATT